TTTTTTAACTTTCCTATCAATGCTTTAAGAGCCCAGCTTGATCCCTTACCACTGACAGAGGCAGTTTCTTTGCAAAAATTGGAAGAAAAAAAATCTTTTGCAGCTTGCCACTGTAGTTAAGGGTGTGTCTGCACTCTAGATCTGGGGCTTGCAGACTGGATCCAGCCCACGGATGCGGGAATTCTGCATCATTTGGGGGCAGAAGGCTTTGGCTGTGAGTGCGTACCATGTGTCGCTGCGGGGACAAGTGGCAGTGGCTGTCGCTTGTCCTCGCAGGGTGCCTGCCCATCCACTTGCCTCTGACCTTGGGGTGGGGTCATTCTGGCTTCAGCTGAAAAAGGTTGCCTGCGCATGCTCTAGATAGATCTATTGATTGTGGATCTTTGCCACAGTTAGGAGCATCTGTATAAGGACATCTTTCTCAGTTGCAGCATGATCAAACAAGTTCATCTATAAAGTTAACACTTTCCTTGGTTCTTTCTGTGCTGTAGGAGAGGGAAAATTGTTTTCTACATAGTGAATGGGAATTACTAGAGAGCTATAGAGTAGCACAAACGGTACTGCTTTAAAATTTAGACATGCAGCAGAGTAATCATCACTTTGGGGCAGGACCTGTGTTTGACTGTTGCTTTGTCCAGTGAGGACCCCTTCATGAAGGGGGTTTCTAGATACTTCTGTACAAATAATCTGGAAAATTAGTACCCCTCAGTTAAAGTAGGTAAGATTTAGATGATTTCCCCCATTAAGTATCAATAAAGCCATTCCTTATGATGGGATACATGAGATTTGCATTCCTGTTAATGGCCCTAACACTGCTTCTACCATCAGTACACTTTCATCCATGGTAGCAGTGCTGGTACGGCTACTACAGAGATCTTCAGGCGGTTCCTCCTGTTTTAAGCTACCACTTTACTTTGAATGAGTTACTCTTGATGACTGTGGCTGAGTTTATTCCATTCTAGGATAAACAGGCCTAGGCTGAAAAAAGCCCAGCGCACGTGGCAGATGAGGTACTTTTTGTCAGCAAATTTGCTGCTGTTTTTCCTATTCCCTTTCTCTGTTGATATTTTTGTCCCTGCTGATCGTATTTTTTTCTAGTGTCTATAAATATCCCCGTGGTTACAGTTGTGGGTGTGAGTTGATCTCAGTACTGAGCGCGCCAAAATGAACTTTTATAATGCTTTTCTTTCTTTATTTTTGCAAGGTTTCTTCTTATTTAAAAAAAAAAAAAAAAATTGCTTCTGTGCCACTTGCAACAGGAAAATATATTTTATTGTAAGACTGGAACATTTCCCTATTAGTGTTGCCAGCCCCAAGGGACTTTTTCATTAAGTTGTGTTCTTGAAGTAGGCTTCCCAGATGATCTAATATGAAGCAAAATTCTAGTGAAAAAAGTTATTTTTTTAACTGGGATTTATTTGAAGCAACTTGGGTCAACTTTAATCTGCTAGTTAAGGTAAAAATGTTAAAAATCATGAGATACTTATAAGACTTTCTAGAAGTTTTTTGTGCTTAAATGACTTCTGTATATTTGATTTGTTGAGGCTAAAACGGTACATTTGAGTTGGGTTTTCAAGATTTACTTCACAATGATGAGGACTAGAAACTCCTTTTTTTTTTTTCTTCCCTAACTGGAAGATGGTTTTCTTACCTAATCATAAGATAAAGGTTTAGAAAGACTTGAGATAAAATTGAGGGAGTTGCCAACAGAGATTTAGGTGGAGTCTTTTTTTTTTTTTTTTCCTGTGAAAACAAGGATTGGTAAGGCATTCACCTTTTCATATCCGGATGAGGTTTAGAGTTGGTTTAAGGCTGATCTCATATCTGGGTTGAGATTAGATGATCATCTTGCCAACTGCTCTCATGAGCTTTAAACTAGATAAAAGGTCCCTTTTGTTCTTTTGAGTATCAGAGCTGTAGAGGTGGCTTCCATCCAGGAACTGATTGCACAATCACCACCATCTCTAATTGCACTTCACAAGGCCTTAAATCTGAGCCTAGAGTTTTGATCAATTTGTTGTTCTTCAGACCAGTGGTCTCCAAACTTTTGATTGTGCACCCCTATCAGTAAAAAAAATTTTTGAGCATGCACCCCCAATATATGTATATTTTATATAAATACAAATAGAAGTTCTAGTATTTTCTTCCCGCACCCCAGTGGATCATCTTGTGCACCCCTTGGGGTGCGTGCACCCCACTTTGGAGACCACTGCTTCAGAGAACTGATGATTGGGCAGCCACCTTTTCAATAGAAATTGCTCATTGCAAGAGGCATATACCCTTCGCCATAGCTTTTTCTTTCCCTTTGAGCAAGCTGGGTATTATTAATACCATATTTACTCAAGTATAAGATGACCCTGAATATAAGACAGCCCCCCCATACTTAGCTTCCATGTATAGAAAATTAATAAATTTGGTATAATTTTCTAGAATCTGAGTATTAGAGGGGTGTCTTGACTCTTCCTCTCTGCCCTACCACTTCCCCTTCCCACTGCTACAGCAGGAGAAGCTGTGGCTGGGGGGGGGGAGGGGAGGGGTCAGGTGGTCCCCTGCCCTCTACTCCACCCACTTCTTCCCACTGCAGCCTTCCTGCCACCTTTGCACCCCCCACACCCAGCTCCCCGCAGCCTCTCCCTCCCCCCCCAACACCCCAGTCTCTGCTTTTTCTCCCCCACAAGTCGCCAGTCTCTGCCTCTTCCCTTCCCACACCCCTTTACTGTCAGACGCTGCTTGGGCTACTCCTTCCTGGAGCGCAGCATGTGGAAGCTCAGCCCTTGCTTGGCCACGCAGCAGTGTAGGGGCTGCTGATTGGCCAGACTGGGGGGGAAAGCGTTTTCATTTGCTCCATGCCTGGGAGAGACCCCAGCCCAAGCCAGAGCTGAGCTGTGCCTGACGGCAATGGGGAGGGAAGGGTTGGCAGAAGCTGTAGAGTGGAATTGGAGTGGGGGGTAGGAAGTTTCTGTGGGTCTGATTCTGGCCCCAACCCAGACTCGGGGCCAGAGTCACAGCAGCTACCTGCTTCCCCCTCCTCTTTGCATGTACCTATAAGACAAGGGGCACCCCCCCCACAGCATGCTGATTGCGGGGGACAATCTTGTCTTATATTTGAGTCAATACACTATTACTACTTAGCTTTCTAACTACTAAGACTTCAGAATCGGAGGTCCTGTGGTTGCCTTGGAGGATTCCTGAGCTAACTGCAAAGCATGGTTGGGGTGTGATAGGTCTGAAGGAAAGAGAAAATGGTATATGTTTTGACAAGACTTAGCCTCTGGAAAATGAAGTTGTCTCTTTAAATTTCACTCCACCCTTTCCATTCCTGCCTTGGCAGTGTGGGCATTGGTCAGGGGTTAAAAGGGAGGAAAGAGCATTATCTTGCAACCTAATAATGTTGTTAATCACAACTTCCTCTTGTGACCTCTGACTTCAAAGCATTTGCTTGTCACTTGGCAAGCTTCTAGAAGGGGTGGTATGTGGCTGTTCTGTGTAGGTCATAAAGCCATGCTTTCCTATTGAGTATCTTTAAAGGTATCCATGAAACTAGCCAGATAGGCATATAGATATAATTCCTGCCCCCTCATCCCATTTTCCCCTTCCATCTGCAGGATGAACCTGAGGAGCAGAGCTGTTGAATTGGCCAAGGTCACACAGCACAGCTAGAAATATTGCTTAATGGCTGCTTAAAAGCTTTAATACTGTAGAAGTATTGGTTTGTTGTACGGAAGGGGTATGCCTGTGTAGAGGCATGTTAAAGGGGTCTGTGCCTTTGCCTGTGCTTTCAGTGTCTGTATGAATGCCTGCCTATCCTGACATACTGCCCTTGCCTGACAGAGTCCATAGTAGTAGGGGGAGAACAGTTCAATGTTACAAATAGCTACCTGCCCATGGCTTTGGTTTGCCATGTTCTAGTAACCGTCATTTTAATATAATTGCACACTGTCACCACCTGTTTTCTTACCTGCTAATTTTTGTCAGCAGGGTGAACACACCAAGGTTGTCATTAATAAAAGAAGCAAATAAACTTTCTGATATTCTCCAGGCCCAGATCCCCCAAAGACTTGAGAACAAATTTTTCTTCTCAGGTTTTGCCCTTGAGTCTCAGCAATAAAGAGCCCATGTTTGGGGTGTGTTTGTCATTATAGGATCTTTATTTAAACTCCATGAAAAGCTTTTCTGGCCTCATACCAGAAAAATTCTAAGCTGCAGGCAGAAGCAGCCAGCAGTGCATTACAATTTTCATTGGATTTATTCTCTCTCCCCATCTCACCCCTGCAAAAGATATCTTTTTTTATTGATGTCAAGCCAGCATCAGATTAAAACCTTTCTCTGGTGTTCCTGAGCTAATCTCATCAGGGAGGTTAGTATTGAACTGCTTTTTAATACAATTTTCACTCTTCTGAAAGATGTTTTAAAAACAACTGAAATCTAGTACAAAAAATGTTCCCTTTACTCAGATGTGCAGCATAATTGTTAAGGCTTGCTTATTGATTTTGGTTCATTGTGTAAATATTTAATAAAAGTTACAGCCAGAGGATACTAGAACATTTTCAGTGGTGAAATGAGTTTGGAGAGTCAGTCCACTTCCTTGTGGAGACTAATACATGTGTATTCACATATGGACACACACACCCACCCACCTTCCGACTAGGCCTGGCTGACAGCTTGGAGCCTAGAAGCAAGGGGAATGAATTGGAGAGTGCAAACCTTCTTATATGCCAAATACCACGTCACAGTTGTTCAAACTTAAGAGACGGTCCTGCTGTGGTATGGATGAAATGGAGGCTTACCAGGCTAGCAGCCCAGCAGTCATCACTGGCATTACATTCATCCAAGGAGTAAGAACAAAAGGAACTAATAAAGTCGGTTGAGGTGGTCTCACTAGTTAGTGTTCCAGCTCTTGTTGTGAATGTGCCTAAGCTCTTTCTTGTTGCATCTATTTAGATGATTTCCAAGCCAAGCACTAATTTTGTGTTTCTCCTCTCTCTCTCTCTTCACTTTAGATCAATTACCATGCTTTGATCCAGGTGATCTGAAGAAGATTCTGCTGTTAGGGTCTTGGTTTTCAGCTAAATACATCTGGGCCTAACAGCTGCCATGGAAATAGGCTGCACAGAGGAGGCAGGCAGAACCAGTGCTCCATCTGTGGTCTGTAGGCACCTTGAGGGAGGTGACCCCCTGCAGCAGGAGGAGAACGGAGCAGCTGACTGTCTGTCTGAGCGGAGCGATGCTTCTGCTGCAGCTCAGGAACAACTTCAGCAGCAAGCGCCCCCTGGCAAGCTGAAAAAGACTGCTTTCAAGCTGTTTGGGGGGAAGAGGAGCATATGCACCCTACCAAGCTTCTTTGGGGGAAAAACCAAAGGCCAAGGGAAGGGAGCTTCCAAAAAGGGTCTCAGTAAGAGTAAGACGCACGATGGGATCAGTGATGTTGCATGTGAAGAGGGCAGAGGGGGGCATTTGGAGGGTCCCTTGGATGGGGGCACAAGCTCACACCCGTGCCAGCTGCCGAGCTCTCAAAGTGCTCATACAGCAATAGATGCCAGCTTCAGGTTTGATTTCAGCAGGCGGGAGAGCTCTCCACCAGGGAGCACAGAAAGTTTTGAGAAGAAGTCCAATGGGGACAAATCATTGTCTTTGCCTAGGCCCAAGAAAGGACTGAAGGGGCTTTTTAACAGCATCCGGCGCCACAGAAAGAACAAAACTGCTGAACCTGAAAAGGCGGGGCCGCATGAGTGGGTTGTAGAGGTTAGAGATGGAGAGCAAACCAGCAAAACACGAGGAACAGGAGCTGAACCCCAGCGAGCCTCTGAGGTGGAGAGTCCAAGGGGAGATCCTCTTTCTGCAGCATGCACTGGAAACTTGGTGGAAAACTGCTGCCTGGCATCCAGCCTTAGAGAAGCCACTGAGTCAGAGTGGCTGGTAGCTGAGAAATGTAGCTTGGAAGGCAACGGAGCAGTAGCGCCTATGAGCAAAGACTGTGTTCTAGATATGAAATGTGAGGCAGAGGCTATTGTTTGTGCAGAGCCAGGCTACAGCAGCCTTCCTGATGTCCTCCATTCAGATTACATAGAAAATGATCCCCCATCTGAACACTCAGGAGATCAGCTCAGCTTGATGTTTGGGGATGTCACTTCCCTTAAAAGTTTCGATTCTCTCACTGGGTGTGGAGACATCATTGCCGAGCCAGATATCGAGAGCATTGCTGAGAGCACGATCTCTGTGGAGCGCAGCAGAGATGCTGCCAAAAGGAGTTCATGTCTTGTCACGTACCAGGGAGGAGGGGAAGAGATGGCGATGCCCGAGGAGATGGAGGAGTACCTCCATCAGATGTGGGAAGGAACCGCTGAGGTGGACAGTAGCTATGAAGCCAGTCTTCCTCATCTCATGAACAGTCATGAGCCACAGGGAGTGAATAGCAAGCTGGAAGCTCATGGCTTGTGCATGGAGGGAGCCCACCCATACACTGGTGGGGTGGTAGACGATGTAGAGCTCTTAACACCACAGAGTGACCAGCAAGAATCTGCCCCTAATAGCGATGAGGGTTATTATGACTCCACCACACCTGGTCCAGAGGATGAAGCTGGGGATGGGCTTGGTGAAGGCAAGAAGGACCGTCTTCCAAGAGACAGTTATAGCGGTGATGCACTTTATGAGTTTTACGAGCCTGATGACACCTTGATGAGCCCTTCCCAGGGGGATGAATCCTTATTCGAGGGCAAAGCACCTCATCCAGACATCTTCAGCTGCTTCTTAGACTTAACTCTCCCTGCTGAGAAGAACCTGATGCAACTGGCAGGGCAGAAAAACAGAGTGATGGAAACTGAGGAAGAGAGGCTGGCTGCCATTCAGAAAGAGCTGTTGTATTGGGAGCTTCAGAGGGAACCGGTCTTGAAACGGTTGGACGTTCCAAGCAAAGATAAATGTGCCAGGGAAAAGCAATATATTGAATGTAAAACTAGAGCAGCCAACTTAATTGGCAAAAATCAGAGTTGCCTTGGAAGTGAACAAGTTGGTCCTCAAGCCTCAAACAGAAGTGTAAACAGTGGGGTTTCTCTGTCCAGACTTGAAAATTCAGAGTGGAGGGATTTTCAAGGGACACTATATCCAGAGAAGTATTGCAATGGCCAAAAAGCACAAGGAAGTTGCCTTATTGAGCTCATGAAAAACAATTCTGCTTTTGATTCTGATCTGGATCATACAGTGTTTGAAGGACTTGTCCACAGTGGGTTAGCCCCAACCAAAACGGTGACCTACGCCAGCTACAGAAAACATGACCATGATGGCTGCTTGCAAAATGAGAACCCCAGTGGTGTGGAAAATAGCCCCAGAGAGCCCCAGACAGAAAGTGAATGTGAACCTGAGCATGCTGTTAACTTTTCTCAAGCTCTGGTGGAGTTCACCAGCAGCGGGACTCTGTTTTCTAGCCTTTCTGAAAGCCTTGGTAGCTCTGACTCTGGTTCTTCCTTTACTCAGAACCTTCCTGTCCTTCCAACCATGGTCACTTTTGATATTGTCGATGTGGAGCAGGAAGGTGAGGGGGAATGTGAGCAGCACCTGGAGATGAACACAGATGAGGACATTGCCGCATCCTTTGAGGCTTTTGATGACAGCTATGTGCAGAAGGAGTCCTTTGCTGAATGTGACGAGAGAATGTTCCCAGGGTATCCCCACAGCTCTTTCCAGAGCTGCAACTGGGGAGTAGCCAGCCTTCCCCGTCACCTGCGCCTTCATGGATTGAGCCCTTCCATGCCGGCACCTCTCTCCATCAACAGAAGGAGCAGGTCGCTTGACACTGAGAGCTTGGAGTTTGAACTTGCAGACTTGCAACTCTCCAAAAATGGCCTTAAGCCTGGTCAGCTCTGGTCTAAAAGGGACAGCAGCAAAAAGGACTTTGATGGATCCCTGCTGATCAGAAGCAAGGAGAGCACTCCTCCCTCTCCTTCAGATGGAAGAGAAGCTGATGGTGTTCTGGCATGGCCAGCTTTGCAGTGTGTGCAGTACAATGCTGAGTGTTCCTCTGGTGGGGTGACAGAATGGGGCTGTGCTCCAGCTATTGTAGAAAGCAGCTGGGATACAGCAGAGCAGTCGGAAGTGGATTCTCCATTTGTGTCCCTTGCACGGAGCAATGCCTTGGAGACTCTGGACAGGAGGCCCCAGGATATGGAACCCAATAACCCAATGCTTCAGTCCCCCAGACACATGGTCAGGCCATCCAGTTTACCTCTGCAGATTGATACGAGACAGTCCCAAGTGGTATCTAGCTCCTATAGGTACCATGGGGAAAACATGGCCAAAAAGCTTGCTCGTGTGTTACCTTTGGGAGAAAAAGGGGCTGACTTACCTCAGAGCTTCAGTTTCACTCAGTCCCCTGAGAAACCAGCAAAGTGCAAACCTGTTGGTGTTACTCAAGGAATACCCCAGCTTCACGACGACAACGCTGAGACCTTAAAACTCCCAGCCTGTTTTGCTGAGCATTATGGAAGCCCCAGTGCCGACCTGCTGAAAGGGAGAGCTTCGCATGGGAACCCGCTGCCCATTAGCTGTAAAAGCACTGCAGTGAATGTAACGGTAGCCAAATAGCCAACAACACGGGGGTGAGGGGGGTAGGGTTTAGGGTTCACTTTTCAGGGAGGGAGAAGGCAAACTTCCAGGAGTGACTTTTAATTTAGAATTGGGTCAACAAAGATGAACTCTTTTCTCTTGCGGCTGAAGTAGGGTGCAGCAAAGTGACAGTGCTGCTAGCACTCTGCACGGCTTTGGGTGCTTTATTTGTGTTTTGTACAAGCAAGCTCCTAGCTACCACTGAGACACCCTGGTTCAGCATGTACCACTCTTCGGTTGAATATAATACACAATGCAGAATGTATACTGGTCTCAGTACATAATACTGTCACTGCTGGAATAAAAATCTGGAAGCAGACAAATCTTTAGTACATCAGGCTAGTTTTTGGCAGCTTTTAATTAAAGGGACACCATCAGCTTCTAAAAATCAAAGCTTTTTTCCCCCTGAATTTTCTTTAAAATATGAAGCTGCTTTAACAGAAAAGTAAGAAAGATGAGTAATAAATAATATTTTCTGTGTTTATTTGCTTTGAGCATTGGGCAGCACATGATATTCTCTGTTTTATCCACTGTGGAGTCATTTCTCTCTTATGTGGCTCTCATACAGTGATGAGGATGAGAGAGGAAAAATAGGTAGACATGGTGGTAAAATCACAGATCATCCTAAGACTTGCTTCATAGACCTGGAATGACTTAATTGGAGATAGTCAAGAAAAGGGAAATATATTCTCTGAAAATGTCCATTAAAAGAAAAGGGTGAGGGAGAATTGGAATTCTTTTGGCAAGTTTTGATTTCCTTTCCCATTCCTTTCCAGTGGAGAAAGGAAAGTATGGGAGGCGAAGGGAATTTCAACCAAAATGAGAATGTTCATGTAAATGTTTTCCTTTTGGTTTAAAAAATCCTCCAACCCCTCACTCCAACTCCCCCTGCTGTGAGGAGCTTTGATTTTTTTTTTTCAGCCAGCTCTACTTTTTATTGACTAGATTCCATGTTGATGATGTCCCTTTAAGAACAAAATGTTCACCCATTTATTCCTTTTGAAGTGATCACACTTCATAGAGTAGAACCTTCCCTGTGTGCATTCCCTACCCCAGCCTCCTCTCCCCCACCTTAACCTGAATATTTGTTTTTTTTAAATAAGCTAAATTGACTCATGCCTGTAGCTGTTTAGTTGCAGATGCTGTTACTTTTCTTCAAAAGGAAGTTTTGTGTTAGGGATTTTTATTTTCTTGCATAAATGCAAACAAGGAGAGTATTCTGTTGATTGGAATACGAGGTGTAACACAGCCTAAATTAGGCTTCAGAATTTCTCTTCCTCACACCTGGAGGAAATGAAAAAGCTGGATATACTGCCACTCTTCTTCATCTGTTGTTTTTCTAGGTTTTTTGCTCCTACACCTTGCAGGAAAGGTTGAGGAATGAAAGCAAGCTGTGGAGAGATGCACTTTGCTCTGAGGAGGTCTTTGGTTGCATGGATGAGAGCTCTCTGAGGCACGTGCTTCAGGCTCTTGGAGCACAGACTCCAAGGAGTCTTCTGTGTCCTTGTCAGTCTTGAATGACATGATTTTGGTTTCGTAAAATAGATTTCTCTTCTTCCTAACTGACTTGCTATGCGTCCCTATGCTTCTATCAGTGTTACATGCTTTGACTTAATTTGGTTAATGGTGAACTGCAGAGCATTTAAAAATGCCCTTTTCTGCTTCTGACATGCAAAAATACTTTCTTTTAATGGCTTAAAACTAACTGCAGTTTTTTAAATTGGGTCTTCCTTTGCCTGGAGGCTTTTGCAAAATGTTTTGGAGGATCTGAATAGTGGGGTTACACAGCTGTCACATTCTCTTGTATACCAACTTCATCTGATACCCGTTTTCAAGCCCTGTATAGATGCTGGTCAGAACGGATAACCTGGCTACAGTTCTTCTGGCCCATAACTGGATTACAACCAGGGTTCCGAATTGCAGTGCAGACTGGGTCTTAACATTTCTTCCTAACTGGGCTATAAGTCAGTCCCATAGTGATTTAGAGTTGCACTCTTTACTGGCTTAGTGAACAGCTGAGAACATCTCTGCAATCATTGCATTGGTACTAGTAGTTAGGCATGAAATATAGACTCCCTGGTGAAAGAGGCGCACGAGGGTCTAATATGTCATATGGAAAAGACACCTTCATGGGGCTGCTGCTGTGCACATGTGAAAGAGCACTGAAGGACAGAACAACAGCCGTGCTCTTCTTTGGCTCTTCTCTTTTTTTTTAAAAAAAGCTAAGAACAGAGAACACCTAGTTCTGTATTTGTATGTTGTATTATATCTTAATTCTTCAGTGTTACCGTGTTGGTTGCACTGCTGAGCGTTACCCTCTAGGACCCATTGTGTCCCATTCTTCAGTGCACACTGCACAACTATACAAACCCACTGTAATAAACAAGATTGCATGGGACAAATTCAACCCTGAGAGTATGGGCAGACAAATTATTACTGCCAGGTTAAAAGGTGCAGGAATTTACTGTATGAAGGCCAAGCTCTCTGTTTAGCTTTCTACAAGACAAGAGTATTCACACTGGTACAGCAAAGCCTCTTTTTTTATATCTTGCAGTAATTAATTCATTTGCTGATGTCCTTAAACTGGCCATCTGTAACTGAGAGCTTATTCATTACTGCACTAAATCAGTGTCCTTGGTGCGTTACAATCTGCCAGTCTTACATGAAAAGGCAAAGAATTAGCAAAGGGAGCAACCTTGGCTTCAGGCTCATTCCTTTTCTGAACTGGGAATAAAATGCTATTGAAGGCAGCCTTTAAGTTTTCCTAAATCGCGGCCTAGAGTATCAATCACCAGAATCTCTAGTAGAAATGGCACTAACTCCAACAGTTAAATTTGGGGCACATTCCAAACCAGATCGTAACTTCATAGAACTGATCCACTTCTTTACCTGCTGTAGGTCACAAATGAATTACTGCTAACAAGAGCAAAGAGAATACAGGCAAGCATTCCCAATAGTCACCCTTTTGTCTTGGTTAAAGCAACAGCCTCTTACTGAATTCTTTTTTTGAGCATGTCACCAAAGGCATCTTGTGGGGATGGGGTTTTGTTTTGTGTTTTTGTTTGTCGATGATGTGGCCTTTGCCAAAGTTTGGGTGAAACGTAAGTGTCTCAGTGCTAAAAAGAACGTTCAGTTGCAGATGCATGTCTCTAATAAGCATTTTGGTTGTAGGTACGTAATGGGAAGACTTAATGCAAGCGGTTTCAATACACTAATGTGTGAAAGCAGTACAGCTAGGACTTGATAATCTGACTTCATACCAAAGGTTTTCTTCTTAATGTGATTTAGACTCTAACAGAGAAAATACGTGACATTGATATACATTGACTAAAGTTATGCACTTCTGAAATATGCAAGTGTTAATTAATTTGCAGGATTATTGAAATATTCTGCTCCTTGAGCCCAAAGATAAAAGAAAAGTAAGGGTTTTTTAAGTCAAATTGGGAAGAAGGTGTTACACAATGAGATCTCCTAACGCTACTAAAATTTTTGCCCTTGAAGGGATAAATAAGACCAGGTTTTCCATAATGATGATACACTTTTTGATGTTTCTACTAAAATCGTAAAAAGGGTCATGGATTTTATTTGAAGGTAAAAAAGCTTGTGGTGGGTGGAAGTGACAAGCAGCAATTTCTTAAGTGCTAGTTCATAAAGCAAATGGCATTTCTGAACTGAGTTTCAAATTCTGACTTATTTCCTTAATAACCCTTTAAGTTCTGTTGTAAAAGTGAGAGGAATTAAATCCATTATGGAATCTCAAGATCTCCTATTTCATTGTGGGTGTGGGAGTCTGCTACAGGTTTTCAGAGTATGCTTTTGTTCCTGACTTCATTCAGTGTCAGAGCAGACTATGGGTATGAGCTGGTGGGTCTTGCCATTTTCCTGAGGGAGACCTCTCTAACCGCAGAGTTGAAGCAGTTGGTGGTCCTATTACAAATCTGTCTCTCCCCATCCCCCATTTTCCAAAGGTTTAAAACCAATTTACCTTTTTCCTTTCTTCCTCCTTCCCACTTCCATGAGAAAAGAGATCTTGGCATGATGAGGTAGATTGAGAATCATCCCTTAAACTTAATTAATTGGTAGTATAATTGATCACTTATCAGGCATAGTGGCCAGTCTTTTAAAGTAAGACTTAAACACTTAAGGATTTTTTAATCCAGTTAATATTGGTCAAATGCATGTCAGATTGGAGGGATGGACCCTGTGGGGTACATCTGCTTTTCTATGCATAGGGTCTGCAACATCCCAAAAAGCTCTTCTGGAGCTTGGGTTTCTGGTGTGGGCTCTTAAACCTACAGCATTTACCAGTTTGAATTAAGCCCTTTGGCCAGCACTTTCGACCTGGGTTCCCAGTAAAATGCAACTTAGTAAGAGTGCTCTGTCTTTTCTGTTAGAGCTGTTAGCATTCAACACGTTGCAGAATCAGAATCTCGTCTTTACCTGGTTAAATGTGGAGTCACGTTTAGGCACCAAGTTGCTAAGTGTCAGTTTAGGTTTTAGTAAGAGTAGGGTCTACTGAGCCAGTCATCAACTGTCAGAAGTCAGGAATTGTCCGGCCAAGGCATTTAAAATAGCAGGATTGTACCAAGCGGTGGCACTTGCACAAAATGTTTTGCTATCACATGGCTAACTATGGCAGTTTTAAACCACTGACATTCAGGTCAGACTACCAAGTTGTGCTGTATTGCATTTTTATATGCATATGAAATGGTCAATTTTATCTATTTTTGTATAGTTTTGCATTTTATATTCATGGAGAAATTTTATGGACTATTGTTTTACTTGTGTATTTTATGTTAAAATGGTGCGGTTTACAGTTTCGATGGAGAAAAAGCAAATGCTGCTGCTACCACTGCCACCACCTGTGCAATGAAGAAACCATCTTGCTTCTAAAATCTGTGTGTCATGTGCTATTCAACTTTATACTGAGGGCTTATTCTGAAGATCAGAAGCCTGCCAACTCCCACACACCTTCTGTGGGTACTACTAAAATGTTTGTTTAATACTGGTTTGTCACTCTTGTCAAGTGCTGTCTTAGTTTTGTTTTGAATCTGGGTTTGTGGGCTGTATTGATCACTTTCCAAGCGTATTGTTGACTATTTTTTTTAAATTTAGAAATCAGGGGGGTTTGTTCTTGTGTATGTGGGGTTTTTTTCCCTTTGAACCCTTTTATAGCTGATTTCTGAAAGGGAATTCTATTAAGTAACTGCCTGTCTTGGAGTGGAAATCATGTTCTTTGTTGCCCTGTGATATTTTAATTGAAACTGTTGGGAAAAGCTCCTACCAAAGTCTGGTTTCAGTTGGGTCAGTCTTGGGATTTTGAATATTCATCTGGGGCCTAGTTAGATGCCTTCAGTGTAGTACTGCTGCTTGCGACCCTCTCCCCTCCGGAAAGGATATGATGGGGTAGCTAGCTGCCAGCTGGTTTACTGCAGAAGAGAGAAAACCACAGAATAGAGTAAGTAGGTCTTTTCCTCACTGGAGCAAAGCTGCTACTACAGGAAGAGGAGGTGAAGGAGGCAGCAGCTGCTGCACCTACACAGTCCTGTTCTCCCTGCTAGTCTGAGCTGCAAGGATATTGCCAGCCCTGCTTTAGACTATCAGGAATAATAATCTTTGCTGCTTGCTTTTTACCTAGTGCAAAAAGTTTTTCCTGTTCCCTGCTGCTAGAGGGTAGCCTCTTTCATATGGTCCCCAATCAAAATTGGACTAGAGAGATTTCCTGACTGCTGCTTCTGCTCTATCAACTCCTGCACTAGTCTCATACCTCAGCAGCCCCAGAGGTCTGCTGTCTTCTCAACACTGTTCTAGGAAAACCTTCACCAATTATAGTTAGGGACCCACTTCATTTGCAGTTTTGTGGTTTTCATGGAATATGTGAAAACAACAACAAAAAAATTAAAAATAAAATGCTGTCTCCCAAGTGGAAGCCAGCGGTTCTTGCTGCTGGGAGAGCAAGTGCCGGCTGGTGGGGTAGCATGACAGCTGCCCCCTTGTCTCCCTGCTGGCACCTTTCTGCCAGTCAGCGCCAAGGGATGGGATGACAAAGGGCAGCCAGTAATCAAGATGGCAGTCACCCCCTCGTCTCTCCTCACTCCCCCAGGCCCTCTGCCAGTCAGCACCAAAGGGTGAAACCACTGTGAAATAATTGGCTGTCCGTGCCAGGTGTGGACCGTAAAAAACCCTTAGTCTTCCTGTGATTTAAGTAGGCCCCTAATTATGGTAACTATGCTGTTCATTTTAAGAGCCCCAGAATCTTTCACTTAGCGGCTGCTCTTAGTTTAAAGGAGCACTGCCAGTAAGTTAGGGCCTGAAATACGGTTCCTAATACATTGTAGGGGAGGGGTGTTGAACTTTACGGCTTTTTGTTTTTATTGAGGTTTTCTTATAAGTGCACCCCTGTCAGGTTTTGGAAACCCACTCTCAAGAGCAGCAGAACAGTGTATGAGGATCAGAAAGTGAAGCGAGCTTTCGAACAGGAAGTGAAATTGACTCACTTCTGTTCAGTCTCCAAGCTGAGTGCAAAAGGTGAAGTGGTGAAAGCTAAATTATGAAAAAGGGAAAGCAGTGATTCAGCCACAGATGCTTGCTGTGCATGAGGGTTTTTGGTGTCTTTTAATTAAATGACTCCTTAAGCAGACAGTGTTCCTTTTTCATTATTTTTTTTTTTCTTAAATGGGTTTTGCTTCTGTTTCTGAAGTGCAAAGTGGGCGGAAATCTAATTTGCAAACATTCCTGGAGTGTTTTGACCAACACTTCATTTTAACATTCCCTGAACTTAATTTTGAAGCTATGTAATCTCATGCAGTTAAGTGTTTGCTGAGATCACTCTCCTCTGCACTGCTGTACTCTCCTGCAAGTTAGGGAAAGAGAAGACCCATCAACATATCCAAATAGTCTCCCTGCCAGTGCAGGATAGTTCCTTCCAAAGCATCATTGAGTGCCCTCTTTTCTTTAACATTCCAGCAAGGTGCCAAGTCACTTGTTCCTTTTCCTTGCATCCTCCACACTCTCTTCTATCTCAATTAGCAGCAAATAAATGAACAAAACTCAGCTGGGGTAAATCTAGGGATAGAGGGATGCATATGTCCATTACAGAGAAGTGAACCATTGGCCAAGTCTTCCTCGGCTCTCCTTGATGCCACTTGCAGAATCAAATCTGTTTCTGCAAATAATTTCAGTACAACTTGGAACCTTTGAAGGCTATGCACAGCTTGATCCACTCAAGGGCAGTTGGTTTCTCCCTTGCCCCTTTTAGATATTTTAGTTGAGTTCACACTTCCTTTTCTTTTTGCGCCTTTCTTGTTCTCATGGCTACTGGTTCTTAAACTTTTTAATGTATTTACTGTGTTTTAAAATGAATGTTCCTTTCACTGAATTCTAATGAATAAACTTCAGGTTTCTAGAGAACATCTTAAAATGTCTTGGTGTGTTTGTTTTTTGTTGTTGGTGTCTCTCTCTCTTTTCCTAGTGCTCAGTACATTGGACTTGTTTCCCGCTCTCTTAGAGGGAAAGTTGCTTTTAAGAATCAAATGAAATGGGGAGTGGAATGGGAAGAATATTTCAGAAAGCACAGTCTGAGACCAGCTTGATTTTTGGCTAGTTCTATACTTGCTATACCCAGCTAAAGTATTTGCTGTTAAATTAGCTCTACAGAATAACAGTCAGTCAAGAGACTGGACCCAAGAGTCAGATTTTCATTTTTAGGAGCATGTTCCACTGTTGCTTTGTGCAAACAATAAGTAGGAATTTCATTTGTCTGTGAAGTGGGGAACATATCTCTTGGTACCATCAACAGATTCATTGAGTTCATGAAAAATTCCCTATGTGTACATCTTATGGCAAACAGAAGCACAAAGATATTTAAAAACAGAGCTAAATTGCTCTGACTTCATGGCAGAATAAGAATGAAAAAATGTTTGAGCAGTTGCTCATCTGCTATCAGGAATAGGGAGAGCATAGTGAATCTGCCTGTGCTAACGCGGCTCCTATAGAGCACCGATGACGTGTTATTTTTTGCAGTTTTTCTTTGCTGATTAGAAGGCACGGTATGGGACAGGAGATGTAGCTAGGGGGAAGAAGTAGCAGGCAGGCAG